GGGGGGTGGAAAGGGAGGGGGGTAAACGTTCTCCATTCGAAATACAATACGCTTTCATATCAGACCGTTTAACAAAACAAACTTGCTAGCCTAGCTTGTGTGGCATTCCGTGCAGTGCTACACGTAGTGATGAGACCTAACGAGTACACGTTCTGTAATGCATGCATCATTGTCGTCGATTTCCTGTTAAGGGTCAGAACGAAAATAACTGAAAAGGTTACCCTATCAGGTCAGGACTAGCACCAAAGATTCCCTACTAGTGTAGTAGTAGATAACCTTTGCAAGGACTGTGATTTTCCCACATGAAAAGCGGGTTTGTTTTTGTTTTTTTGTTTGTTTTTTTGTGTTTTTTTTTTTGGGGGGGGGGGTAACCCCCGACCAGCCACAGGGAGTCTTCCATAAGATCTGAGAAGATCAATTTAATACTGGTCAGTCTTCAATTGCCTCTAAAACAACGCCATGTAGCTGACCGAAACCCCGAGTAGAAGCAGGACTTTCTGGGTTATCTTGAAATGGAGGAAAGAGAGAGAGAGAGAGAGAGAGAGAGAGACAGAGACAGAGAGACAGAGAGACACAGAGACACAGAGACACAGAGACAGAGACAGAGAAAGAGAGTCGAGGGCGGTCAGATTTTTATATTTTCACATCCTTCGAAAATTATAATTAATTTATTGTTGCAAACACTGGTATGTATAATTAGCTTAATTCGACAGGTGAGATCATTCCCAGCAGTGACACTGTGTACCCTCGGCTAACATGAGACCATAGTGCGGGTCCTGCCAATCGATGGAGTGACCCACTCACTCTGGAAACCGCCACTGTTGGACATGAGCAAAAAAGCAATACATGAGCAGTCAAGGTTCGAACCCGAAAGAGTTCTTGAAATTTCCTCCTCTCTCAAGGAATAGGCCTACATAATATCGCAGTTTATTTCCTTGTCGGGTTGGTATCGTGGCAGGTATGAATGTAGTTTTTAAAAAATGTAGGCACTTAATAGGTGGTTTTTACGCCGCCCATACGATCTAGCTCATTTAGGAGGCGGGCTCTGACCTTTTCTGCCAGAGCCGACTCGGGCTGAGAGGAACTCAATACACCAGAAGATAGACTGACATACGCGATACAAGTTTTCCCTACTTAGGAATCGAACTCGGGTCTCCTGCAGACGACAGTGTCAGTGATGCCCCAAGTACCCTACACGACAGACGTCAATAATGGTCGCTTTAAAGGACAAGCGGGCTCACCCAGATTTCGGGGGTTTCCAGAAATCTTGACCTAGCCTAAACAAAAGTGGGCATTGTATTGCCCTGCCCATAGGAGAAGTTTGGTTTCATTGGTTGTATATATATTTGTTTGGCTGTAGAGAAAAGTCTCCGTGTCTTAGAAACTGAACAAGGGGCAAAAACTTTACCCTCGATTTTCTCAAAACGTGCTTAAAAACGACCAATTATTGTAGCTTAGTATCTTTCTATTGTTAGTGAGCGTGCAAGAGGAAGAGGACGGAAACTCGTATGTGAAAGCGCTTGTGTGTGAAGTGGTCGTGGGTGAGCAATAGGAAAGGAGGATGAGAGAGAGAGAGAGAGAGAGAGAGAGAGAGAG